GTTGTTTTAGCCGATTTTTTTATACGGTATATTAATGTTTTTTTATGTAAGAAAATTGCTTGTTGTTTAGTTGTTGTTTTCTAACATAATCTTCTTCTCATTTCTTGCTATGAGAAGGAATTTATCGCTATTTTAAGAGATGCCTTGAACCTTGATCAGAATTCAGAGAGGAAGAGAAAAGAAAGTTCGGCCCCCTTAAAGATAAGATGTCATCTTATAATGGTGTAGATACGACTACATCTTTTTGTGGGGAAAGCTCTGGTAACGAGAGGTAGCGGAGATCTCTGTAAAATATAAACACTCTTGATCTGGAAATGATAAGTTTTATTGATATATAAATTACATTCTAAAGATACGACTTATAAAAACCTTTATATTGAAAAATACATACAATACATATTACAATATATATATATATATATATATATATATATATATATATATATATATATATATATATATATATATATATATATATATATATATATATATATATATATATATATATATATATATATTAAATAATTTTCATATGACCTACCACTTCGTATGCTTGTATAGTTTTCTGCATTTTAGAATACCATACAAGTGATTTAATACTGCTGGTATTCAGAGAGCCTAAAATTCTATAGTTGCGATTTATGCCATAAACATTTTAAAGAAATGTATTTTATTCCATTCAATTTAGAATAACGACCTGGAAAAGATCATTGAACATTATACTTTATTATCTAAAGAATATTTTTATTCGCAACTAAATTTTAGCATGAAGCTAGTAGTAAATTGATACAAATACAAATAAATATCAACTCTTAAAAACAATACCATATTCCGCTACATTATAATAGTAAATTAAAAAGAGAACTCACAAGAATATTGCAACTACTAGTTACTACAGAAATCTTTAACTTTAAGGGTGAGTAACAAAACAGAAAATTCTTACCTGTAAAATACAGACTCTATCTGATCTGGACCTGACAAGGTTAAGATTCACATAAGGATCGGTTTTATATATCCCGAGATTTCGTGTACAATTTCTGACTCGCGTGCGCCCTTGTCCAAAACCAGAGAGGTCTATGTTAAATGGTTGTCTCTTAAGCGAATGACCTCTTAAGTCGTATGTTGCTTACAAACTTGAAATTTTGTTGCAAGTGAGGCCATTCATGCCATGAACTTTTAAACCAGACAGTTTACGAATTTGCTGAATAAATTTGTGACAGTTGTAAGAAAAGCGAGCACTACAGGCAAATCGTTTATTGTTCCATTCGCGCTATGAATTTTTGATCTGGGGCCATCTTATGATCCTATCTACCAAATTTGTCACTCGGGAAATCTAATGAAAATATACAAGAATGTGACGGATAAGTTAATGTTAGCAGAATTTTATGTCAATAACTAGTAATTTCAACATAGACTAACACAACTTAGATGTTATTATTTTTTTTAAAAATTGATATCCTAATATTTATAAATCTGTTTCTAACCCTGTATTTAACCACTTCTCTATGTCTCTATTGCCCCTAGAGTAGCGTTTTTCAGATAAGCTTCTTGCCACACTCTTTGAGGTCAGCCATTTGCAACATTTGTTGCCAGTAAGCAGTGACGTCGCCCATGTTAAGTTCCCTTTGTCGTTAGACATTCCCAATACATTGCCGCTATACATTCTAGTTAAAATTCCCTTGTCGCCAAAGTCAAAAACGACCAAACTTAACATTGATGTCCCATTGTTGCTAAAGTACCCCCATTCACTTCTAACATTTTTTAAGAAATTTAAAAAGTTAGACAGTCACTTTGTGACGCCAACACATACTCCTCTGAACAAATATTTCATTATCAAACCACAAAGTAATACAAAATTAAGAACCGTGTTGATTGAACGTAAATGTAATTCTTCTTTAATAATGTAAACATTCACGTTTATGCCTGGAGAAGTGGTAATGATTGGCTTTCAAAATCATAATTAAAACATAATCAAAATAAAAAATTAGATAGGGTACAATATTTTTGTGTTCCGCCTGGCAACTTAGTTTGTCCAATGTAATACTGGAGAAGAACGCCATAGAAAGTGTACAAATATCATCATAACTACTCTGGTAATTGTAGGTAACTTGATGTAAATTCAATTTCAAAGTTTATATCAGCCTCAAATTACTTTGTATATCTCACTCCACAGTTTATCCCGTACATTTTTTTGGTGTGTGTGTTTTGGGGGTGTTTGTTTTGGTTTTTATTTTTGAGAGATTCAATGAAACAGTGCAACGCGTTTTATTCATTTAGACCAGTGGTTCCCAAAGTGGACGGTACCACCCCTAGGGGAGGTAGGATTACCGAGTGGACGCTAATGCCGAAAATTGCTTTTTGCGGAATATGGTAGTGGGCGCTGAGGAAAACCCAGGGCCACCCGAAAAAATTTAGGAACCAACGATTTAGACCATATAGATTTAACACTAATAATGGATACGTGTATTGTTTCGCTGTTTGCTTCTTGCATTAATGAATAATAACTAAAAGTTCATTACTGTTTTAGAGTTTTGAAGTAAGGGTCTACTGCCGTAAAAATGATTACATGCGTATTCATTTATCATTATAATACAGATGATTTTTTTAAGACTAAAAACATATGACATGCCACCAAAATGCTTTTACAGACAATACCCTACCAACCACCCAAGAAGAATCTGCCAAAATATACATAGGCTCGCCACTACCATAAAAATAAAACTACAAAACTCTCCCCGTTGAAGAATCGTAGGATATTGCAATCATCAAATATTTTTTACATTTTCCAGTCGCCATCACCTAAATACCGACCTTATTCTCTTATAAGTCGAGCCAACTGCAAACTTCACATACCCTGATATGCAGTCACATGATGCTCCAGACGTTCTGGTCTGTGCCGTATGATAAGAGTAATCAGTAGAACCAACAACATGCACCCTGGTTTGTAGACGCATTACACTATGGCAGATCAGGATTTTTTTCCTGTTCGATTAGACTTATAAGTGAGTAGAGACGGGTATTATATCCATTACGGTGTAGACATCTGAGTGAAGACGAATGCTTGCGTGCTTCGTACTAGCACACAAAAACATAGTATTGCTGTTACTGAGGCTGACCCTCAAGACAAAAATTGTTGCAGTTAGTACACGTAACGATTAGTACGTAAGCAAATCAAGTTAGTAAATGTTTATTTTATCTAAGGCATGAAGATTTGTGACAAGTTACCAACAGTGACAAGAATAGTTTGTTCATATCTGCTTAAAACTAAAACGATAAAGTCATATTTTTGAAACTGCAGTCCATTATAGCAATCCAGTATTCACACTAGTTGTTTATGTTAGTACATGTACAGTGATCCAATATTTATTAAATGACCTTTATTCACAATTGTTGTTTTTATGTTAGTTCATGTACAGTAATCCAATAATTAATAAACATCCATTATTCACACTAGTTGTTTGTTTTATTCTACCCTCTTTATGAAATTCTTTCTCATCCATTCCTTCGTGATAACTTTTGATATGGTGATGTTTCTCCGTCTTCGTTGAGAATGATGTATTGTATCCGCTGCTTTTTTTAAAAAAAGTTTAGTTATGACTTTGTGACTTCGAGTAACTTCATCATTTACTACTTCCGATCTATTTACATATTCATCCAAATCATTATTCACTGTTTCAGTTTTGAAAGAATTAGGCTATAGTTCAATAACACAAACTTGTCAGTTGCGAAATCGTATATCGGCTAAGTGTTTAGTTCCTCGCCAAGATAAAACATTGAATCATTATAAGAGAGGGAAGTCTATATACTTGGCATTATGAAGGAAGTGAACTATTTAGAATTGTTCACAAACCGTTATCACTTATATTCGTGTTCTGTGTGTATTGCCTCTAGGCCATTCTAGCTACGAAAACTCATTTTGCTATAAAAAAAAAATAAACAATACATATGAGCGATATTCCCACTTTTAAAAAGGCAGTTATTTATGAATGGAATTTTAAGTGTGATCTATATTCAGTCTTATTATTCAAGCTTGCAGGTGCACTCCATTTGTGAATTGTAAAACGGTAATTTATGGAAGAGGTTTATGCGTTTCAATCTAACGGAATAAATTCATCAAAGTAATGTTTAATGCCAGATAAATTCGTCTTAATAGGATAAAAACAATGAGAAAAAATTACGCTATCTACCAATGAGTTTACTAAAGAGTTTTCCTGATTTAAATTTCCATTAAAAATTTCACTTATATTTTTTGTGTGAATTATTAACGTTTCATTTTCGTCGACTCAGTATTGAAAGATTTGGCAAAAGTCAAATGTTTAAAGCTGTAAAATGAAGACAACTACAAAAAAGATATTGATATTATTTTGTTGAAAATTGACGAATACTGTCTCGCTGCAAAGTGTTTAATATTTGCTTGGTCTTAAAACTTGTTCGTTTTGCCCATTTGTGAGAATCTAATAATTTCACGTTCATGTTCATTGAAGCTTTAATGAATTTATCTTGCTTTTTACGATCTAATATTAAAGATGTTTTGGAAATGTGAAAATATCGAATATTTTCCACTTACTCACACAAAGAGAATGTTTAATAGAACTTTGAAAACCGGAACATGTAAGTATTTCATTCCAAATGAAGCAGAGAGTGACTAGATGTATCACCTAACTTCATTTAGACAGATATAACAGCACGTATCGGAGTCAATTATCTTGTCTCTAGTTATAGTCAGTGACCCTGAAAACATGTCGAAAGTATATATCTAATTATTTGGTTAAATGACATTTGATACCTATGGAACGACTAAACAGAAAATTAGTGAGAATGTGAGGTTCTAATAAATATAAATATATTTTTGCAAATGCTATCATACTAATTTTATAAAATAATTTCTTTTTTTAAAATTAGACAAGAAATGTTACGTTACCCTGCCGTGTACACACCAGAATATTATATTTTAAAATATTGTATGAGTAGAAATCATCTCTGTATGACAAAAAAGATATGACCGCTCCAGTGGCTTAGTGGTTAAAACGTCCGCTTCGATTGCGGGAGCCGGTTTGAACCCCAGCTGAGTCACACCAAAAATTCTAAAAACAGCTGCCTCGCTTGGCACTCAGCATTAAGAGGTTAGTGTTAGGACTGGTTGGCCTGGTGTTAGAAAAATGTGATTATGTGCAGGGCTTCCAAATACGCACAAATGTGCGTCCCTGACGCAACAAAATTAAAAATGGCACATTAAAACCCCCAGCCTAAAGGTTCCGTAGGACGCAATAAAAATTGCTGACCAAGTCGATTTCCGGCTTACAGATGCATGGTACGGGCATTAATAAGGGCGTTAATAAATGTATGATAAAAATAATATAAAATTAGAGATGTATATGGTTATCATAACTGCAAATCTACAAATGATTAAGTTAATTTAACCTATGTTCATGATATATACATTATTATGTTTGATAGACTTGACTTCATTTGTCAATACACTAAATGTGTTTTGGTAGGTAATAGACGCACACTTATTCTGGTTATTTTCAGCCTACCAGACGAATATGCCGATTTCATTACACGCTTGTTTCTTTTGCTTTCTTTATAATATTTAGCCATATATTTTCACATAAATACAATTATCACATCATTTTCAATACTATAGTAATTCCACATATTATTATTTTTTTTTAGTAAAAGGACCATAAGAATTCTAAAATTGTACTGCAGGTATGTTACGACAGATTTATTTTTATGTACTATCATTCGGTAAGATATTCCGTAATGACTACCATTGAATGTTAACTTTGTGCATCTTTAATACCCACATAAGAGACAAAGAATTAGTTGCCCGGTGAACACAGGTGAATAATTCTAACCATGTAAGCACACACATGAATAATACTAATTATTTGTCTAATTTATCAACCAGATATAACACAATTATACCGTAGTCATTGAAAACCGTAGGTCTTGTTACACTTCCATGTCAGACAGATGATTGACAATACAGTCAAGTAAGCTCCTTATATTCCATTTTGATCAAATCCAATGCAAACGTTGGTTTTCTGCAATTTGTAATACCACATATATTATATTATGAAGTCCTGTCAGACGCATTATTTAAATGCCAGAAAAAAGCTATATGTGGGTATCAGAATTGTGTTGCTTGTGACAAATACTACAACAGAAGTATCAAAATTATTTTTTTTCTTTTGTAGTCTCGTTCAAAATATTTCTACCGTATGACTTGTTTGTGGTTTAATTTACAACGGTTCTTGCATGGTTTTATAGAGTTGATTAAATCATATGTAGAAATATATATCGTGTAAGAGGTAGTCGATGCTTTGTTCACTGTGTCTGATCTGCACAATGTTAGCACATAACTAAAACGTTAACATAAAATCAAATATTCATTCGTTAATTTTCTTAACTTGTTTAGAACTTTCACACCAGCATGTAATCCTTTCTGTAATAGTGATCTGTGAAATGTTAAAATTGTACTCGTGGTTCAGTTCTGTCATGTTATCCTTTTTCACCGCATCTGCAATATTCCTAATTATTTCATTAATATATCGCTTTGTTTGCAGTAGCCTTATTAGATTTTTCGAGTGAATTGATTTATTCTTTGCTTGTGATATTTTCTTTTAATCTTTTTTCTCGATCAGGTTATGCAATTACAGTCATCCAGCTAAAAAATATACGGGACGAAACTGTTATTGACTTACTTCCTAAAATAAGTGTCATCGTTTTTAACAGTTGCATAGAACGATATGAAAACTATTTCAGTTACAATCGTAACACTGGGTCATAACCTAACCACTAATTTAAACAATTGTTTAGCTTTAATGCTACCTGGATTGTGTCTAACACAATAATGTGTTGGATTACAATGTTTAACACTCTTGTGATGTTTCTTCTTGTTTATTAGAAGTTACGTATTTTCCATTCCTTGATATCTCCATTTATTAGTTGCAAATTTTAAAGATATTTCCAGCCTACATAGGCACTAGCATATATTACACCAGCTAAATATGGTGTGAATAACTAAAGTCCTACCGTTAGCAATTGCGCCTTAAACTGATATTGCTTCTGCCTTTTTCTCTGACGGTAAAAAAGTTTCCTCCACCGGTCTTTATTATGTATGCTACTTGGTCAGTAGTAGGATTTTTATTAATCCAAAATTGCATTTATCTTTTTATCAGGTAATATAACATGCGATTCTTTTACTCTGTAATTGTTCTAGATCTAGATATATATGATCAGCATAAATTTTTTAAGCGACAACGAGCAAGCAAAATATTTTGCGTACCTACAATCCAATATAATATGTAGAGCATCAAACAGATAAAATGTTTAGATTTATTAAAAAATAATTGTATACGCATTTGATTTTTGCTTCGTTTGAATGGCAAATTGCTGTATGGAATCTGTATGGAATTTAACATCCATTCAGCCATTCATGATAGAGAAAACTCAAAATCATATTTATATCCTTGCTTCCTGCACACCTTCGATATACAAATAAAAATAATTTTTAATGCGTATGAATTCAGCTGATACAAATTTATAAAGCACTATAAATCTAGGTATTTCTTTTTCATTTGTATAACATGGTTTCAATCTCTTAAACTGTAACGTTATGTAAATACGCTTTACACTTTACAACCATTCCTGTGTTTAATTCAGTTTTGAATATTTATATGCCTTCTTCCATTTTTAATTTAAATGATTTAATCCTTCCACTAAATGCGGAATTCTATTTTTGCATCTACTTCAGCTTTAAATGTGTCTATTTGAATTACAAACGCTTGTTCTACATCATTAAAATTGTTTTCTCATTGTGTCATCCTTATATCTAATTTGTCAACACTTCCTCACACCAATAAAATATTTTGAACATTTCTTGATTATTATCTTTTTATGTTCATGATTTTGCTGTTTTATTCTATTACACCAGTACGTTCATCTGCAAGAGTTTTTGTAGTCTGATCATTTATATTCTTAGTCGATTAAATTAGTTATTTCAATAAGTATAACGTCACCTACAATTTTCTTTTGCTTTTCATTGCCATCTATCGTTTTTGATGTTCATGTGAAATCATTCTTCTTATGTTATCTTCAAGTTGTATTACAGAACTGTGTAGCTCATTTAGTTAGTAAGATCTTGATCGAGTTAATCTTTTTAAATGTTTATGTATTTTTGATTGATATAACAATGCTTATAAATTACTAAAATCTTTAACAGATTTTCTTATTTTCTCCATGTCACTGCCTAATGAATCTACCTTTACATTTCTCCATTCTTCAACTGTCTGCAAATTTCGTTAAATTTAATATTATTATCCTTAGGTCTAATATCTTTCATTCATTTACTTAATTATTGTGTCATTAGATAATCAATTGTAAACTGGCTCATGAAAAGGTAAAATCAATTTTATAAATTGAACCAGTTATGTTCGTTTAACCATTTTCATCAAAAGGATAACGTAACTGACTGTGAGAGCCGATTTAATGCCGCTTTGTCATTATTACAGAATTCCGGGAAATGGATTTGCCAGTTTCTTAACTGTTTTCTTTTTAGAAAATCTATCAGATATAACAATATATTGAAACTAGAGCTCTTGGAATGCATCAAATGAATACCTAATTTTAATCTATCAAAAACACCACTAATCAAGGCAATCAAGATATACTTGTACCAGCTTGTTCTTCTCAGTTTCTTCTTGAGCTTGGATTATTCTCTCTCTTTTTTGGCTTTGTGAAATTATTGTCATCATTGTACACGTTGCTTAGCAACTTTAACTCTACATGGATGCATTTTATTTTTCAATGTTGAGGTTACCTTTTCTGGTGAGTTTTCAAACATAGGCATTTAGTTAGTTTGCATTGACCAAATTTCCATTAATTTGCAGAAATATTAACAGTTAACATAGATATGATTATAGATTAGTAGATAACTGCTCATCGCAATATTTCAACCAAATCTCACAGGTAATTAAACTAGTGTTACAATCGTAAGATAACAGAGGTAAATACAAATATTTAATGTTTATTAAAATAGAACAAAATAAATGGAATGCATGGCAAACTCAGCGACAACCATTATTTGCTAGCCTTATCTGTGAACGTACAACAAAAGATAAATATAAATGCTTTTGAAACACATACCATGGTAACAACAACCGATATAATATCTTTTTATTTCATATATCAAATTTTAATGGCATTGAATTAAAGCATTGAATCAAACACTAGATTAAAACTATTTGATGTTCCCTTAATTAAATTATGTATCAAGTTACTTAACTACACAAAACCATATTAATCATTGTTGATACAGATCACAATATAGGTCATTGTATACATTGTGACACTTTTGATCTATCTAATTCTAAACAACCCAAAAATAATGCATTCACAGGTCAAACACTATGTAAAAAAAGGATAAAAAGCCAGCCAATAAATATCGAAGAATACAAAAAAAGTGCAGAATCTAGCTTTATTATTCATAAGATTTTCAATTATTCTTTACTCTGCTTTATACATTGTATAAACAATTTAGCTAATATGTACACTCCCGTTCGCCAAACGTAAAAGCGAACCGAATATAAATCATCCTTTATTCACTTTTTGCATCGTTTTCTGTCTTTTGATTTTCTTCTGTTGACATTTTACAATTAATGTGTTTAAACGATCTCAAGATATTACTCAATAAAGTTGGAGGTAATGACATGCTAAATGGCAAAATCACAATAAAGTGTTTACAGGCATTTGAACCATTGTAAATATTCTTCTGTCGTTAATTCTGTCTGGTTAACATTTAAACAGCACAGAGGCTACTCGAAGTATTACCATATCGACAATAAATTATATATATTTTTTCAAATATTTTATTTAGAAATTAATAAAAAGCAACAGCACGTTTTCTTCAGTTATCCTCCCTGGACTTTTTGAACTAGTTGGCAGTAGGTTTACTAGCTTGTTTCTTGTATGTCCTATTTGCAATATTAGGTTTTAACTCCAGTTCATATTATTCCTCATTTTGCATCTCTCATTTCTTTTAGTATCTGAGACAATGCAAATTAAAG